CTCTTAAGGGACACTCTTGTGAGACACTCTTGCGGGACACTGTTGCGCGACACTCTTGTGGGACACTCCTGTGGGACACTCATTTGGGACACTCTTGCGGGACACTCTTGTGGGACACTCCTGTGGGACACTCTTAAGGGACACTCTTGTGAGACACTCTTGTGGGACACGGTTGCGGGACACTCTTGTGGAACACTCTTGTGGGACACTCTTGTGGGACACTCGTGTCGCGACACGGTCTGCCCACACACTAGAAGCAGTCACGCGAGCGTTTCGTACGAGACTTCCTCCAAAAGTCACGCTTCGAGGCTGCAAGACGAGCGTTTCGTACGAGACTTCCTCCAAAAGTCACACGTCGAGTCTCCAAAACGAGCGTTTCGTACGAGACTTCCTCCAAAAGTCACGCTGCGAGGCTGCAAGACGAGCGTTTCGTACGAGACTTCCTCCAAAAGTCACGCGTCAAGTCTCAAAAACGAGCGTTTCGCACGAGACTTCCTCCAAAAGTCACACGTCAAGTCTCCAAAACGAGCGTTTCGTACGAGACTTCCTCCAAAAGTCCAGCGGAAACACCCATCGGAGCACACACATCACGCAGCCCTGCCTAGCAATTTCGCGATTCCAGCCCCTCCAAACGACACCCGCTCACACGCCAATCCCAATGTGACAGCGACATTCACCTCTACCATAACTCACGACCTCGCGATTCCCTGCGCCTGCCACGAATCTTTCCGCATCCACACGTCTAACGCGCACAAAGTACTGCGCCTGCCACGAAATGTCACCTCCGTCACACCTCCGTCACACCTCGCAACCTCACGATTTCCTGCGCCTGCCACGAAAATCGCACTTCCACACCTCAAAATCAGGACAAAGTACTGTGCCTGCCACGAAAAGTGAGAATATCATCTCACATGAGCTTCAACAAAATTTGCACCACACCACACGTTTAGAATGATTTCGACCCGTTCTGAGCACACTCCCATCCACCAAAATCGCCATTTCAGCTGAGACTTGTCACGAAAACAGAGCTTCAAGGCCACACCCTGAAATGCAAATCCCAATGGCACGGCCACATCCAACACCCCAAAAACACGACTCTCCAAACGCTAATCCCAATGAAACTGCGCAGTAAACTGCGGATCTCTCAAACCACTGCGCCTGTGCAGCGAAATGCATCACGTTTCTTGCGCGACATGTCATTTTCATGCAAATCACAATGGAATAGCGTCGCAAACTGACACGTGACACATCCATGAAAAGTCACTTGCAAAAGCTTCCCCCAATGGCAGCGCCTTAGCGTCCTACTGCGAACGGTTGCGAACGGTTGCGAACGGTTGCGAACGGTTGCGAACGGTTGCGGACGGTTGCGGACGGTTGCGGACGGTTGCGGACGGTTG